CCGAGAGGACGGAGGGCGCGGGGCTGGGGAGCGAGCCGGGACCCTGCGGGGCGCCCCCGGGCCGACCTTCCAGGCTGCAAGCCCCGTCTCTGAACCTCCCTCTCTCCCCCCGTTAGGCTTCGCCTCCTTCGGGCTCAGCGCCAGCGAAGTTGCGCACGTCTCTCCGCGCCAGTTCCCCACGATGGGCAACTCCTGCTTCGGCCTCAAGGAAAAGCTGCTGCAGCGGCTGCGCCCCCTGCCCACCCTGCTCATCGTCCGCACCATCATGCCCCAGAGGAAGCCCAAAGATCTCTGCGTGGTGATCCTCGGCTCCCCGGACGTGGGCAAGAGTTCCCTGGTGAAGAGATGGGTGCGCGGCAACTTCCGCGAGAAGTACGTGCCAACTATGGAAGACACCTACCACCAGGTGCCCGGCGGCACTCTCAGCATGAGCACCACGCTGCACATCACCGACACGGCCGGCGGGCACCGCTACCCGGGCTTGCAGCGCCTGGCCATCTCCAGGGGCCAGGCCTTCGTGCTGGTCTACTCGGTCACCAGGAAGCAAACGCTGGAAGAGCTGAAGCCCTTCTACGAGCTGATCCGCGAGATCAAAGGGAGAAACCTGGGTAAGTACCCCATCGTGCTGGTGGGCAACAAGTGCGACGACATCCGCCGCCGCGAGCTGAGCGCCACCGACGCCGTGGCCTTCGCCATGGAGTGGAATTGCACCTACCTGGAGACCTCGGCCAAGATGGATATCAACGTGCAGGAGCTGTTCCACGTGCTGCTGAACCCCGAGGAGAAGAAGCCCGCCGCCAGTGCCCAGCCTGCCCAGAAGAAATCGCAGATGCCCAAGATCGTGGAGAAGCTGCTGGGCAAGTGCATCATCATGTAAACCCTGGATCCTGGCAGCCCGGCCCCCTCCCGGGGCGCGGAGAGAACCTGGACCGATGCTAGTGCCGCGCGTCACCCCTACTGTCCGTGCTGTAGTTGCGGTTGTAACAGCTAGACGTCAGTATGTGTTCCTCGTCAGTTAGTCATGTGTCTTTTTTCCCCAGGCGAGGAAATGCAGATTGTTACAACATTCGGTTTTGGAGGATGGGGGGGGAAAAGGAAACTAAGTCTTGATGGACTTTGGAGATGAATGTTTGGAAAAGAGAATGAAAAGTAGCAAAAGAATGAATTGAAAGATGTCACTGCCCTTCTTGTAACCCTGTGTTATATGGATTAATTGTTAAACATCTCAAGTTCTGTAAACGTCCAATCCAACCTTCCCCTTGTGTACTTAGTGAAATGTGTTTTTGCAACAAAAGCTTTGCTAACTGACTCTGAGACAGATATACTAAATGAGAGAAATAAATGACTATTCTATAGCTGTGCGTTGGGGGTAGGGGCAGAGAAAATTTATGAAAGTGGAACTTGCTTACTAAAGGTGCACCAGTTTCTTATGTCATTTAAAAATGTTTGGAGAGTCCACATAGCAGTTTATAAAAAGTATAATAGTTCCGTGACTTAATAAAGCTTTTCCTGCATGCAATCAGCTGTGATAATTTTTTTCCACTTGACAGAAAATAAAATTATGTATGACATTAAAATTTCAACCACATCTGGGGAAAGTTTTTAATAAAAATTTCACACATGGACACCCCTGCCCTCTTGAAAGTAGCCAATGTGGGGAGGGGGTGGTAAGGGGTCACTGCAATGCAGAGCTGGTTTGTATCCACAGCTTTTCTGGACTCACATCAGAAAAACTCCAGGGGCCCTTGGAGACGAGGCTCACTCTGCTGCTGTCTTGGAGGTACTGGTGAAAAGCAAACCCCAGCCTTTGGCTGCCTCAAACGTCTTCCCTAAAGAAATATTGGAGATAGGGGGGATAGAAGGTAAGGAGAGAAATGGCTGGGATTTGAATGAGAAAGTCCTTCTTAAGGCAAGTTTTGAAAAAGATTAATTTTATATTTGAACATAATTTTTGAGTGAGAGACTATATATGTATACATGTCCTTGCTTTTGAATGTTTGGATCTTTTTTTTTTCCAATTGGGGGAAGAGGGGGAGGCTCTCAATCTGGTGATTTCCCCCCCCTAAAATATTGGACAAATATTGAACAATTGATATGTTTTAAAAATGGTTTCATATATAGCATGATTTTCAGGGAACACATACACACTGTTGAGAAGGAACCATAAACATCTATTTCATAATAGTACAAAGTTTTGAGCTTAGAAAACCCACTCAGTGACTCATTTTAAATAGTCAATTATTTAAGATTTTCCTTTTTTACTTTCAGAGCAATTATTCTGAACCACTAGAAATACTTAAGTGGTTTTACCACATTGCTTTTTATGTATGCTACTCTAAAAAAAATGTTCTTAACTAAAGTGTCTAGTGGAGTTATTCCATTTCTAAAAGAAAAAAACTATCTTGGCTATTTTTCAGAATTCTCCTTGGGAAAATGTATTGCATTCATTGTTGCTTCTTATAGATGAACAAGGGATTACTAAGTAGCAAATACTACCCTTTCGAAATGGGAGGACGTGTTTTTAATGTTGCAGTAATACATAGTACAAAATATTTTTAAGATTATAACATATTTATATAGTCTACATGCCAGTGTTTCTACATTATATCGGAGCAAATATTTATCAATTCTTTCCACATGCTGATGTTCTACATTATATTACTTAATCCTTACAACAATGAAGTGGATACTGTTTTGCCCATTTTGCAGATGGAAACACCGATAAAGGTCACAAAACCAGTAAGTGGCAGGGCCAATCGTTGAAGCCAGGTGCTCTGCTCCCGTCAGTGCTCTGCGGCATGATGGTGTACTTTCTCCCCAAGATGACCAGGCAAGGACAAGTAGCTGACTTTTCTGTTCTCTATATTATAAGGATGTGGGAAAGAAAGCTTCCTCAGAGCTCCTCTAGAATCCAAATGGGAGGTTAAGAAGCAAATCAGCAATTACAACATGCATGGGGTCGGGGGTGTTAAAAAGAGGGAAGAGAATCACTGGACGCGGGGCACTGGAGGACATTTATTTCCCCAAAGAGATGGCATGGCTTGAATCTTTTATGCCTCGTAGGAGTTGCTTTAAGGGAAATTGGTGTGGGGAGGAGCAGGAGGGGATGACATTTTTAGGGGAACAGAGCAGTGTGAAAGAAGGTCTGGACAAAGTGTGGGGTCTAAGAGATCACGGCATGTTTCCAGAAATGGATGGAGCAAACTGTGGAAGATGAGCCTGCAAATTAGAGCTAAGAATTCATCCTCTAGAGGTAAACAGGGAATTACTAAAGGTTTGAAGCCGATTTGATCGTATTTGCATTAAAAAGAGATCACTGGGGAGCTTCTGTAAGAGGTACTGGAAAGAGGCAGGTAGACAAATTTAAAAACAATTAGAATAGTCCAGGGAACCCGGTTTTGAGTAAACGCTCTAGGCATTGCCAGAAGGGATGGATCTGAGAACTAGTTAGTAGGGAAAATATCCAGAGCTAGTGATGTGTTGGAGTTTGAAAGAGAGGAAGAAACTAACAGAAATGACTTCCTTCCTTCCTTCCTTCCTTCCTTCCTTCCTTCCTTCCTTCCTTCCTTCCTTCCTTCCTTCC